CAGTAGATTTTAAACTTTGGTGTCACAAGCATTACCTAAAGCACTTGCATGAAGGAAAAAAATTCAAAAAGAAAATTCCCTCTTGCATCGTTCCCCATTCTAATGCAATATATTCAGTATAGAAAGGGGCCTAGGAATCAGCAGTTTAAATCAAGTCTCTCCTGCCTCAGGCTGGGGAAATTCGATGACCTCATGGGCCACAGGAAGAAAGTTGTATACTGCCCCTCCATGTACTGCTACATTTCTATGGATATTTCCAAAGATGCCCTGTATCAAATTTTATTATCTCAGGCTAGAATTTATTTTCACTCCAAACTGTAGGAATGAATCACTGAAACCTCTTCTAAATTATGCATTTTCAGGTTATTGTGACCCCTGGAGCTGTGAGAATGTGCATATTCAAGGTGAATTTTCAGACTCAAAATTGAAGAAAAAAATTCTGCCTGCTGATTATGAAGAACATCAGCTTATGGGAAAACAGTGAAAATACTCATGGAAATTGAAGCCAACACCAAACAGTCTCAGATTGTAATTAAAAGTTCTGATTTGGTCAATATACAACACAAAAATTTGACATAATTTCTGCTCAGAAAAGTAAAAAAAACTGTTATAATGATCCCAATGAGTATATTTTCAAAATAAAAAAACAATGTGGGCCTAATATAGGCTTCCCTGGTGGCTCAGATAGTAAAGAATCTGCCTGCAGTTCAGGAGACTTAGATTCAATCCCTGGGGCAGGAAGATCCCTGGTGAAAGGAATGGCTACCAACTCCAGTATTCTTGCCTGGAGAATTCCAAGGACAAAGGAGCCTGGTGGGCCACAAGTCCAAGGGGTCACAAAGAGTTAGCTTTGTGAGCAACTCTGAGCTTCTGAGCAACTAACACACACACACACACACAAGGGAATGAAGAACTTCCCGAACACATCTCCCATGCACTCGACCTCAAGTTAAGCTTGCCCACCATGGACAGTCCTTTGTTGAGCCTGCCTTGGTTCCATGTGCTTTCTCTCTTTCTGACTGTCCCCTTCCCTTAGCATGTTCAAATCAGGATTATCCTTTAAAACTCGGTTCCAATGCCATCAACTCCATTATATCGTCAACATCCCTCAAGCCAGAAATAGCCAATGCTTCCAATTTACTGTGGTATTTTTGTCTGCTCTGCCATGATTACTCAGTTTTACCTTTAACTATAACTGTTTTGGAGAAGGCAATGGCACCCCACTCCAGTACTCTTGCCTGGAAAACCCCATGGACGGAGGAGCCTGGTAGGCTGCAGTCCATGGAGTTGCTAAGAGTCAGACACGACTGAGTGACTTTACTTTCACTTCTCACTTTCATGCATTGGAGAAGGAAATGGCAACCCACTCCAGTGTTCTTGCCTGGAGAATCCCAGGGACAGGGGAGCCTGGTGGGCTTTCGTCTATGGGATCACACAGAGTTGGACACGACTGAAGTGACTTAGCAGTAGCAGTATAATTATTTCAGTTCACAAATACTTTCTAACTATGAAGTCAGAGGTGAAGATTTATCTTCATATTACCTAGAATGCTTACCTGAGGTAAATGTTCCAATGTTTATGAAAAAACAGATCAGCGAGGAAAGAAAGCACACTAAAATACAACAATCACCAGCAGTTTCTCTCACTGGGTGTAAATGGGACACAGGGAAGAATAGCTTTAAGAAAACATCTTAATAAAAATAAATAAGTGTTTTAACTGGTTTAAATCAAATTATCTCAAGCTCAACACTACTGACATTTTGGGATGAATAATGCTTTGTTGTGAGGTGAAATCCTGTGCACTCCAAGAGGTTTATCAAGTGTCTTTGACCTCTACTCAGTCACACCTCCTCCCTCAGTTGTGACAACCCAAAATGTCGGCAGACATTGTCAAATGAACCCCGGGGGGGCACAAAATCACATCTAGTTGAGAACAGTTATTTTAAAGTAAAGATGTTTCCTTGGACAACATAAGACAAGTCTATATGTCAACTTGCTGGCCAAAGAGAATGGAGAAAAAGGCCATGATACTATAGAAACATTCCAATAGGAAAGACAACACGTGTGACTTAGAAAAGAATCCTTAAAGAGTAGTTTCAAAGTTACAGGGAGAATGGGAAAGATGACAGAAAACTTGAGATAAGCAACTGCACTGCTCCATGACAGGGGAAAAGGGCAGATATTGAAAAAAATCTATGCTGGAAAGTCTTGACACCAAACAAGTTTTTGAAATATTTTCTTCAGTTGCTAGAACTGAGGAAGAATTAGGTAATTGCTAGGATTGAACAAGGGTCCATTAAGAGCAAAGAGTGCCATACTGACCTCATTTCCTTTTATTATCATATATATAAGTTGGAAAATACTGAATTTATATTGTAAGAAATTTTATAAGATCTGGCAAGATACCTTTTAGAAAAGGTATTAAAGGGCCTTTAATGGAGCAGGAATTAAAGGGCCATCCACTTAAGAGTCTCTCTTCAAAAAAAAGTAAGCATCAGATGAAGTAAGAGACTTTCCATCTCCAAGACTATAACTGTGGACACTACACCATACTCAGGTCAAGCTCGCTTTTCTGCTTGAGGAAACTCATGGGAGAAAGGTCTTGGTAGAGCAGTCTGAGGAACAGTCAGCAAAAACACACATCATAAGACGCTGAAAACAAGGATGCAGATTCATGATTTGACTTTTATGCTTTAAGAAGACAGAAATCACACCTGTTTAACTCCTTATTTATTTGCCAATAAATAAACTCCTTATTTATTATTATTTAACTCCTTATTTATTGAGGTGCTCAATAATTATTACTCAAGAAATGAATGTCACAGATATAATTTAATTCTAATTGAGTCTTACGGAAACCTCTCTGACAAGTTGAGAAGAGCTTCCTGGATGCTCCTTCTTCTGAGGACACTAGTATAAGAACAAGACTCTTATTCTCCAGAGATACCAGCCTGATGCTTTCCTAGCAGACGAGTATGTACTAAATACTATCCCTTCCATACATGCAACCCTACCACCTCAGTGTAGAAAATAAAGTAGTCTCCCTCTTTGACACAGAAGAGAAGACTCAAGAACAGACATCCATAACTAATACAGTCTGTTAGCACTCGCTGAGGGTCATGCTTCTATGTCCTCACGTGTTTAGGGCAGAGGATGGAGGTGGGAAGGCTGGCATGACAATCAATACCAAAATTACAGCTCCATGATAAGAAACGCTGTCAACATGGTAATGACTTGTTTAAACATTTATTAAATCACTTCACAACAAATAGTAACACATGAAGTGTTATCCTCACATTTCACAGCGACATCACTCCTAAGCAGAAAAAATGCTAGCCAAACTGTTTTAAAATCTTCATCAAGATATTATGTAGTTAATTTTGAGGGGCTGGATTATTCTTGTTTGTTCACAAACAACCTTTTAATAAATTTGGCAAGCAAATGCAAGCATGGATGCATTATTATTGCTGAAAAAAATAAATGTCTAAAATCAGGAAATTCAATATCGGAATATCCACAACACAATGATTTTCACCTTCTCTATGCATTTTTCATCCCTCTTCTGTTTCACTTTGACTTTCTGTGATCATGGATTGTAACAAAGTTACTATTAATGACAGACTCACAATATCACAATTTAGAACCTATAACTTGTGTGACTACTCAATCTTATATTTCCTTTTTTCATCCTTTTAAAAATGTTCACTCCAAAGAAAATAACAAAGAAAAGGAATGAATTCTTTTCAAAAATACACTCCTAGTGGTCATTTCTAAAATACCACCCATTCTCCTGGTAAACAGAGATATATTAATCTAGAGGTATATGTACATACACGTAAATACTTTTTACATAGAATATTGCTGAATTGGTTTAGTTACCATTTCAGAATAGGTCAAAGGAAGTTATTGACAATATAACATTTTTATGTCCATTTATTACTTGAACCATTTATTTTTGTAGTAACAAAAAGACCATAAAAGTTCACTGATTTAACAAAGAAACTAAGATCTGTAAAGGTAGTTCCAAGCGAGTGTGGCATCTCCATGAAGTTGGAGACCCAAACCCTTCCTTAATGCTGCCTTATCACTCATTAGAACATTGCCTGTCTACAGTTGAAGAGGGCTCACCACTATGTCCACTGTTGCCTCTTTCCAGCATGGGAATGTTGGGCAGTGATATGGAGAAAAAGAGCATGCTCTTTCTTTAAAAATACTACTTCAAAGTTGTTCACATCACATCTGCTTTACCAGATCTTGGTCATATAGCCACTCACAACTGCAAGGCTGCCTCAATTTTGAATAGACATGTGCCCAGCTATTGTTTGGAGGCTCCATTACTAAAGAAAAAGGAGAAATAGATACTGGGACATCTAATATCTATTTTAAGTATTTGAACCCAGTTCATTCTTATTATTACCATAAGACACAGAAAATGCTTGGACTTTCATTAGCCAAGACACCTGATTCCAAACAAGATGGAGGAGCCCACCACAGAGAAACACTGAATAGTCTTTTGCATTAATTTCCTGACAGATTATTCTCAGAGTGGCACATCCTGATCTCAGATCAAAGGTCTGATGGAACAAAGTCTGGGTGCCCACCATTCATGCTGCAGAGAAATGAGAGCAAGCTACAAAAGGTGGCATGATTCTATGTTGAAGTTAATTCTAGAGAAGAGAATTTCCTTCCCTTTGCTTAACAGAGTATGAATCATACAGACTGAGAACAAGGGAAGGGCTGTGAAGTGTGAAAGTCACTCCGTCGTGTCCGACTCTTTGCGACCCCATGGACTTTACAGTCCATGAAATTCTCCAGGCCAGAATACTGGAGTGGGTAGCTTTTCCCTTCTCCAGGGGATCTTCCCAACCCAGGGATCAAACTCAGGTCTTCTGCATTGCAAGCAGATTCTTTACCAGCTGAACCATGACAGAAGCCCATATAAATGATCAAAATCCACCTCTCTCTAGACTCTTGAGTGTGTGATAACTGAAGTAACATACCTGGTTGGTGGTTGATGAGATGGTGTCTAAATGGTCTGTTTCCCAGTTTGGTCCTTTTTCCATTGCACCAAAGCGCCTTCAATATGGCAAGCTGTATAAACAGAAAAACAATGAGAATGCTCAGGTTATTATATTGACAATTCAAACATTCAGTAAGGGGAAAAGAAAGAGTAAAAATCCAGTGAACTCATCAAGAATTTTTATTCACACAAATGCTTATACTTCTCTGTATGTAAGTTTCCTAAGGACAGGATAGTTATGTGTTTTGTTTACTGCCTTTCCTATCACACGGGCTTCTCTGGTGGCTCAGTGGTAAAGAATTCGTCTGTCAATACAGGAGACCCAGGTTCAAGGCTGGATCAGGAAGACCCCCCTGGAGAAGGAAATGGCAACCCAACTCCAGTATTCTTGCCTGGAGAATCCCATGGACAGAAGAGCCTGTGGGCTACAGTCCATTGGGTCGCAAGAGAGTCAGACATGACTTAGTGACTAAACAATAAAACATTTCCATCACATAGCAGGCACTAAATAAATATTTATGGAATTAATGAACAGAATAGTCCTGTGCAGCTACCAGTCTCAACCTGAAGCTCCAGACTCTGAAAACCCTGTTCTTACACTGGCTGTTCTTGAAGCAGCTCTCCCTGGACCAGGGGAGCAGTGTACAAGAACCTCAGTCATTGTACTGCCTCCTAGTGGACCCCCGGTAGCAAGGGTGCAGCTGGTCCCTCTTTTCCCTCTGAGCAGTATGGAGCCATCTAAGCACAAACCTATGCCATCAGCTCAAAGTTCCTCTCCAGGGAACATTGTTCTCATACTGTTTAAAGATGTTTTATTTCCCCTGCTGCCTTTTTCTCCCATCTTTTCCCATTTCTCTTTAGAAATCATAATCAGCCTTTTTCATTTACGACACCCATAGATTTAAAAAAACAGAAAATCCCCTAGAAATAATGAGGAACTCAACACTGCAAAATCCTCTAGGTAATTCAGCAGTCCCCTGATCACATACTGTATCCTAACTATCCAATTGTAAAATTCCCCATGCACCAGACAAGCTCGTGTTGAACCAGAAAAAGCAAGATGTAGATGTTACCGCAGAGCTACTTGTATTCAGGAAAGAAAATGAAAGAGATAAGGGCCAAATAGAAACACACAAGCATTGTGCATTGATACTGCTGTTGTAATAATAATAACTCAACACCGTTGGTGTTTTGCTGTTTACACAATCCCATGGTATACATAATTAAATTGAAGCTCAGTATTCTTAAGTGGGTTGTTTAATATTATATAACTGATACATCTTGGAACATAGACCCAGACACTGAAGTCCTTTGAGTGTAAATGTTATGGTCTTGTCAATGTACTGTGCTACTTTTAAAAGATCAACATGAATTCTGGAATCATAAAAGAGCCTTACATCTTCTACAAGTTCAGAGGATCCACTGAATATAACGATGGTTTAAAACCATGCTATTGTAGCCTGGTAATTTATCTTGATCACTTCAGACATGTGTTACAAGTAATTTATTAATAATAATAAGGTGTTGTAGTTTAGGAGTGGCTACTTTTTAATAACTTAGAGCAGATACACCTGTCACGCACTCTCACTCATTTGTACTTAATATGCTTTATTCGGGTGAATGCAAACTCTGTGCAATAATCATCATCAGGCCAGCATATGCACAGAACCTTACTGTCACCAATGTGAGTGGGCCTTAAAGGGGCAAGGGGAGTATTTTTGCACATATCATGTGAGAATCTCTGGTTCAAAATAAGAAACCTGGGGCTACAGACTTTATTTTCATTCTATTCCACTGACCACAATGCAAACTTGTGCCACTCAATCGTAAGTGGCAACAAAAAAGATCTGGAGCTGGAAGAGATCTGTCTGGGGCAATTATTGGAAAAGAGACCAAGATAATCATCTCTGTATATAAATGCCAGCATATTGCCTTTGGCAGCATCCATTATTATGACTAAAGGAGTATGGAAAACTTGGAAACAATTCAAAGAACAGGGCTCACCTCCCATTAGCCAGAACAAATGTTATTTCTCTGAGATTGTCTATGTTCTACATTATGTAACTTTAATGGATTGCTCCTCCCCCCAGTGTTCTGTGCACACACTCAACAATAGTTCTTTCTCCGTAATTATTCATTGCATTTTTGTCTTTTCCCCAAATGTAAAAACTCCTCAAGGGCAGGAAATGTTTTATTCATCTTTATCCATCCATAATAGATGCTCAAAAATGTCAATTTAATAAAAATGGTTGATTAGGATTGGAAAGTAGAACCTGTGTTTGTAAAAAAGAAAGCAGTGAGAATTTCTTAATCTGAGGAGGGGTCACAGTAAGAACGATTGGTAAGGCAGTTACAGACAGTGATTAAACTTCTGCTAGAATGAACTAGTCCATAAGAGGCTTCAGAAGACTTTGAGTTTTACTCAGAATCTCACAAGAAACCACTGGAATATTTTACACAGAGGATTAATATGGCTAACATATTTGGCTAACATAATATGGCTAAATAATTGTAGGGGGACAAAGGCAAAAATGGAGACCAGGTAGAAGGAGGTTATAGCAGTAACTCAGGCAAGAGATTATGTTGGCTTTAAGGATGGTGGTTGTGAAGGGTGATCAATTTCTAGATTTTTACTGTATATATAAAGTAGTCAACAGGAACTCCATATAGCTTGGTTTCAAAAAGCTATCAGAGATGAATACGAAGTTCTTGACTGAACTAATAAGAAGGATGGAATTTGTCAAGCATTGAGACTAGATCATATTCCAAAGGGAAGGAGTGTAGATAAAAAAGCAAAAATGTATAGCTTGATATGAAGACGACATCAAGCACCCTGATACTTAGGAATGGCCAGAGAGGTAGAACTAGTATCAAGAGAGAGCACTGCTCTTGAAATCATGTAAAAGAAGGTCTCGGTGACCTGTTTTTAAAAATCTGTCAAATGAGATGTTGTTGTTCACTTGCTAAGCCATGTCCAACTCTGCAACCCCATAGACTGCAGCATGCCAGGCTTCCCTGCCCTTNAGACGACATCAAGCACCCTGATACTTAGGAATGGCCAGAGAGGTAGAACTAGTATCAAGAGAGAGCACTGCTCTTGAAATCATGTAAAAGAAGGTCTCGGTGACCTGTTTTTAAAAATCTGTCAAATGAGATGTTGTTGTTCACTTGCTAAGCCATGTCCAACTCTGCAACCCCATAGACTGCAGCATGCCAGGCTTCCCTGCCCTTCACTATCTCCCAGAGTTTGCTCAAACCCATGTCCAGTTAGTCAGTGATGTTATCTAACCATCTCATCCTTTGCCACCCTCCTCTTCTCGTGCCCTCAATCTTTCTCAGCAATCTTTTCCAATGAGTTGGCTTTTCACATCACATGGCCAAATTACTAGTTTCAGCTTCAGTATCAGTCCTTCCAATGAAGGGTTGTTTTCATTTAGAATTGACAGGTCTGATCTCCTTGCGGTCCAAGGGACGGCCAAGAGTCTTCTCCAGCACCACAATTCAAAAGCATTAATTCTTCAGCAGAGCCTCCTATCCTCATCCATCAGAGGGCAGACAGATCTAAGAACTATAATCTCACAGCTCCAAAACAAAACCCACAATCTCAGAAAGCTAACCAAATAAGATGAGAATTCAGCAAAATGGCAAATATTGGTAAACTTAGTAAGAGTTACACGTGGTGGAGACATGGGATTGGAAGCCTACTGATATTGGAACAAAAGAGGGTGTAAAGGAGGAAACAGAACAGGCTCTATCTTGAAAGCAGGACTCCATCTCTGGCCACACTACGGACTTCAAGCTATATGCCCCGTATCTATGGAAACAACATACCAACTGGAAAACCAGGCCCCCAGAAGGAAGAGCCCCAGGGCTCTCCATTGCCTAAAAGAACACCCTAATTATCTGTGTAGCCAAATAGAATCATACATTCTAATATGCTTATTGGGGTATGACCACTGGGGTCTATTGATAATTGTCTACTGTTAACTACTTAGGCTTAAGGCATATGAATCACGGGTTAATTTTGATTGTATCTTTCTTTTCCTTTATTCAGGCTAGTTTCAGGGAATTTGGAGAGGTGGGTTTGGGCGCATACACTTAGGGTATATAAGGTTTTCACAAAAACTGGTTGGAGTCCTTGGCTAAGAGGAGACTCTGTCTTGGGCACGCTGGTTTAACAACTGCACCCCACTATCTGCATTGTCCTTCTGAGTGAGTTAGTTTCCCGGAGCGCATGGCTACAACAGGTGAAAAGAGAGGATCTAGATATAGTGGGTACCAGTAACTTTTTTGTACAAGTTTTTATTGATCTATTTGATTTACAGTGCTGTCAATAGCCCCAGGTGTACAGAAAACTGATTCATTTATACATATATAGTATTTTTAATTATAGGTTACTGGACTTCCCTTGTGATTCAGCTGGTAAAGAATTCACCTGCAGTGCGGGAGACCTGAGTTCACTTCCTGGGTCGGGAAGGTCCTCTGGAGAATGGAAGGGTGACCCACTCCAGTATTCTGGCCTGGAGAATTCCATGGACTGTACAGTCCTTGGGGTCACAAAGTCAGACATGATTCTTTAATAATAATAATACAATACAGATTATTACAACATACTGAATACAGGTCCCTGTGGCATACACTGGGTCCTTGTCGGCTATCTATCTTATACATAGGAGTGTGTATATTTCAGTCTCAAACTCCTAATTAATCCCTCCTCCTCCTTCCCTCCTTGGTAACCATAAGTTGGTTTTCTATGTCTGTGAGACTATTTTTGGTTTGCTAAAAAGTTGATTTGTATCACTTTTTACATTCCACATATAAGCAATATCATATGATATTTGTCTTTGTCTGGCTTACTTCACTTAGTATGATTAGCTCTAGTTCCATCCATAATAGAATAATGCAAATGGCATTAATTCATTCTTTTTTTATGGCTGAGTAATATCTCATTGCAGAGAAGGCAATGGCACCCCACTCCAGTACTCTTGCCGGGAAAATTCCATGGACGGAGGAGCCTGATAGGCTGCATTCCATGGGTTCTCGAAGAGTCAGTCATGACTGAGAGACTTCA